GGGATCCAGATTGTTTTCCTTGCTGTTTTTATTTTGATCTGATCAGAAAGGAGTTAGAATCTGTAAAGTCAGTCTGCGACATCAATCTGCCTTGAGCAGAAACATCCCCTCGTCAGTTGACAGAGCCGGGTTGGTGGGAATTGTTCAGTGGAGTGCCATCTTGTTGGCAGTGACACGACAGCAATGACATTCATTTTGTAATTGTTCGTGATCCAGCAAAATGGGGTCCCGCCAAAAGTTGCTAGGAGTATTGTGGCCTTTCTTGGTCCCACTCCGGGCAGATTGCAAGTCGGGCCTTAAGGTCCCAGGGTCTGAATTATGACAGAAAAATGTCACTCATCCCAGTTAATTTTAATAAGTAGCTTGTAGCTTCACATTGCTGGTAACAGAATTATTGAAATTGGAACCCTTGCTGTCTTTGCCAGCACTGGAACAAAGTGGAACAAAATTCTGGAGCAAAACTGACAAAGACAAATGTGATATCCTTGTATCAGATGGAGTTTTTAGAGACACCTCGCAGCATCTCGCAAATCTTAGGCTGTGGCCATTTGAGATTAAGATATCTTTCCAGTTGAGGTGTAGCCACTGCAGTCATTCCCCGTACCTCAATATCACTTTTTGAGTAAACATTTCCAGTCTGCTTGAGATGCCAACACCCACCCCTCACTGTTAAGATTGCACTGAAGAATGCAGTGCCCCATCAGCAGACGCTCCAAATGAAGAAGTAGATCTAAAAAATAATTATGTCCTTCTTTATTTACATGTGCGCTTTCCTGTTGGGGCTTTATGGATGATGTCCCATCTCAGTGCCATAGGAAAGCCCACGTGTAATGCAAAACATTGCATAAATGTCCCAAGTTGCTTTGACATATTAGAATAAGCTTACCTTTCCTTCAAGTACGTGGATTTTTCATCACTGTAGTAATGCCACTGGAACAAGATCCTTGCTTTTTGACTGAATTGGAGAATGTAGCATTGTTAGGGTTAAACCGTTTTTTTGTTTTTTTTTATGGCCGTACATTTCACCCAAATAGGAAAACCTCTTTTCTTTTCAGGATTGAAATACAAAAGCTTGAGGAGAAGTTTAAAGTGGCCGAGTCGCATCGGCAGGAGTTTCAGAAGAAGGGCGAGTCGGACCTGGAAGCCCAGCAGCAGCAGATTGAGCAGATGCGCCAGCAGTGGCAACAGGCTCAGCACAAAGCCACCCAGGCCGAGCAGGAGCTGGAGGAAGAACGCAAGAAGCGGCACCGGCAGAACCGGGACATCCTGAAGCAGCTAGAGGAGTACAATCGAGAGAAGGAGCGGCAGTGCCAGGAGTTCCAGGAACACCTGGAACAACTGGACCGCCAGCGGGAAGACAGCGAGCGCCAATGCCGGGAGATGGCCATTGCACTGGAATCGGAGAGAGAGCAGACTGAAAAGCGGGCAGAAGAGGAGAGGCAGCGGCTGGCTGAAATGGAGCAGAAGCAGGAAAAAATTTTGCTGGAGCGGGAGGAGGAGCTAGCCGAGGAGAGAGTGAAGCTGGAAGACCTGCTCCGGGAAGAAAGGGAGAAGTTCCAAGCAGAACTGGCAAAGCTGGAAGAGAAAGAAGCAGAGATGGAGGAAAACCTGGAGAAGGTAATCAGGCAAAGATTTTTGAACATCTTTGCCGCAGGATTTATTTCTTGCAATTACAACTTTCAAGCAATAAACTGCAGTTCTCTCAAATGCCCCACTAACCCTTTCTTTGTTTGTATTTGTTACAGCACCTGTCAGATACGATTCTTAACTGCCCATCCTGGTTCACAATTAAAACAACTCAATATGCGAGACCAATAAAGATATTAAAATAACTCTTCCAATGGAAGTGCTTCACAGTCTGCCACCAAGCATTTGCCCCAAAGAGGCTAAACACCATGGGTCACAAAAGCAATTAAATAGAGTTTGTAATGCCTTGACCAGTCACAGTGTGTGAAATCTGTCGACCCTTTCCAATGTGCATTGAGTCGACAGATTTAGCACTCTGTGATTGGTCAACACATTGCAGACTCTTGGAGGCACACTATTGTGAATCACCTGTATTATAACATCAGATATGCTGGTGAAAAGTGACATGGGACTTGACATAGGAAAAGGGACTGGAGACTTTACTGGACTTGAGACAAAATGACTTGTGACTTGATTTGGCTAAAAATAATGGACCTGAGACTCAACTTGTTTGTCAGAAATAACTTAAATGTAGTTACAACTCTACCAACTGAAATCACATGTAATAATGGTAAGCCATTGTACAAGAGGAATGCTGTTTGAAATGTGTATGTTTTTACCATACTTTGCAGCAGTGTCTTCTCCAAGATGATGTCTTGCTACACAATGACGTGTGAATTTTTCTTTGGGGTTTTTGCAAAGTAGTCACTAATTTACTTTCTGGTACTCCTTTCTCCTTTTTTGTAATTAGGCAAAGCAGGATCTCCAGAGGCAGCAAGAGCAAGTCCAGCGCGAGAGGGATGAGGAGCACCACTTCCTGGAGATAGAGCGGGAGAAGCTAGAGGCTTTGAAAGCCAAACACGAGGTGGCCCGGCAGCTGGCCAAGACAATGGACGATTCAGTGAAGGCCCAGCTAGCCATGGAAAACCAGCAAGTGGCCGAGGCCTGGGCCAACTTTGACAAGCTGAAACAGCGGCAGCTGGACACCATCGAGGAGGCTGAGAAGAGCATCCAGGCCAAGGCCGAGAACCGCGTTGCAGAAATTTGGCAGAGCAGGACCGAGCTGGAAGACAAGAAGGCAGAACTGGGCAGGAGGAAGACGGAAAATGAGCGTGCAATGAAGGCCGCGATGAGCGAAGAAGAAAAAAGAGATTTGAGGCAAGAATTGGAGAGGATAGTGGCGGAAGAAAAGAGAATAACCACGGAAGAACTGTCCCTGGAAGCGAGGGAAGCAGATGTAGAAAAGGACATCGAGGCCGAGTTTGTTGAGCTTGAGAAACAAAAACGCAGGGACGAAAGCATTCTGGAAGCTGAGTGGAACAATCTGTTGAGGATTGAGGCAGCCAACCTGCATTACCTTGAGCAGGAGCTGTCCGATCGGAAGGCAGCCATGGAGAAGCAGAAGCAGAAGCTGAACAGTACCGACGAGCACCTGAAGCAGTTCAATATGACTCGGAGCCGGACTCTTTCAAGCTTCACCAAAGAGGATGCGGGCATTAAGGACAAGAAGGAACAGCTACAGGAGCTGCTCCAAACCAAGGAGTGTAGCATCCAGGACGAGCTTTCGGCACTTGAAGAGGGACGAGCGGAGCTGAAGGCGAGGAAGGGGCAGGACAGCGAGGAGATGGGAGAGCAGCGGCGGCTGCTAGAGGAGGCCTTGGCCGCCAAGAGCAGCCTGCTGGAGTCAGAGGAGGAACTGAAAAGAGAGACAGCAAAGCTCACGCACCTCGTAGAGCAGATCACCCGCGAGAAGCAGGGTTTGGAAGAACTTCTGCAAACGGAGAGCTTCAGTGAGAGCCGGTTTAAGGAAGAGCAACGGAAATTAAATGAGAAGATGGAGGTAAGTGAAAAGCTGCAAAGAATTATTAGGGGACTTTTGAGAATCCATAACCTCCCATTAGATACAGTGTAGTTTTAGACAGACAACGTGCAGACAACTTGCAAATACATATTGCCATTCAACTAGCGATTGTTTTTGTCTTTTCCATGCTTAATAGCTCCCAGTTCATGAAACATTTGACCGGAATTTACACATGGATTTGCATTCAAAGCTTACCACCAAAATGGAAAAGATAGTGGCGGCGGGTATTTTGGCTCTACAGTCTTACATTTCAGTCTACCCTGCTGGAATATCCAGTGGAGGAAGGGGGCAGGTTGTCAGCCTCCCCCCCATTTGTCATTACATTTTTTGTATGGGAAAGTGCCAGTATATTAGAAACAGCATAACCACCTTCCTTTGGGAAGTGAAGTATTTTATAAAAAAAACATTGGACAGTTGGCTTGGGAAAAAAAAATCTAAGCTCCCATCTGTGACCGATGACCAGGATACACCACTGGCCTGCCACCTTTTTGATTATATTTTTGTATTGGGAACTGTACATACCAAATGTTTGCCCTCTCAAAATGCGCCTCTAGTCTTGCGTAATCATGTGCCCACAGTGCTAGCCATGCTGCCCAGTAGTGCATCTTCATGTATAAGGAATTGGCAGCTGCTATGCATGAAATATTGCTTAGAAAAGCCTTGGCTCAATATTTTTGTAGAACACACCTCCTGACACAATGTTCTTGTCAAGTCCTCACGAGCCTTTTACAAGGCCATCACAAACTATTCAAGTGAGCTGTGACAATGGCATTCATGTACAATGTGTGTACTGTTGGGGTTTCATTGTTGTATCGCTTAATACCTAGTCGACTTGCTTTGCTATGTTTGCTGCTCTGTGGCTTTTAAAGAATCACACATTTTTAAGCTTAAAAGCATGGACATTCGGGAATGGTTTGCATTGTATTAAATGCATGGTGGATGTGAGAGGTACATGTAAGCTACCGGTACCGTATTTCACACAAAACTATTGGTGCCTCTGCTGTAGTGAAGGCCATCATGAGTTTGGTCACGTCACAATGGCAAAGGATTTAACATTGGCTCTAAAGGAATACCTTTGTCAATGTCCATTTCAGTAGCTTAGTGGCTTGAGACTGGATGACCTACGTGTACATGTACAGTGTAGGGCCCATTGACACAGATGATGAGCAGTAAACTGGAAAGTGTTAAAAGAAGACATTATTCCTGTTTAGTACACAAATTACTGACTTTCTGCAATAACAGCAGTGCTCTACAGAAATAATAAAAGGCACAATGACTTAGGAAGTGCCAAACCATGCATTCAGTATGTGACATCAAGCCTAGTGAGACCACTCATTGGCCAGAACAAGCGGTCTCAGTGAGGTATCTTTGTTTCGACAAGATTTCCACATGCAGCGAGTCTATGCCCTATCACACAGTTAGTCCGCCCTCAATGTAAACAGTCCCATGAGAAACCACTGCACAGAAAAATTCATAACTGCGTCTGTGAATGTGGGCTCATACATGGAGGATGGAATTGCAGAGAATTGAAAGCACTTTGATAACTGGTGTTCGACCTGACAACAACTCTGGTTATTACAGAAACAAAAGTTTCTTAACTTGGAATTAATGGGAATTTTCCCGTACAAAAATGAAGACCAAGTACCGGTACACACGTGCACATGTTCACATTGTACACATGTTGCACATTGACAGGTCCAAAAATGTTGCACTGAAAAATGAAAGAAATTACACATGAAAGTCATCAGTTCTTCAACATGTCAAGGATTAAGGACTGTACAGGGATCAAGATGTTTTAGTTGGGAAAACATGTGTTGTAGGATCCTGAGTGAGCGAACTTGTCCTTAAAATTGCTGTGCTCATGCAAAACAAGGTACAATTGTTGCATACCCTGGTATGCATGTATGTATGGTAGAATGAAAAATGTAAAGATGAAATTAAGACAGTTTTAGACACAAAGCTTTACCTGGTGTCTGTTTGCAGTGTATAAATGGTGTACGTACGTACATTTTGTTTACACACTCATAGTCGGTCATGAAAACCAGAGGCTCATTTATGCTAGTATTTTATGAGCACTCTCAGTCAAGCCCAGTGTTACATGAATTTACTGTTCATCACCAAATCAGTACATTTAATACTAGAAAATTGGAAAAAGAAAATGATTTTTGATCAAATAGAAGTTACCTGTAGCATTTTCACATTAAATGCACTTGCATGTGTCAGAAATACCGGTACTTCTATATATTCATTTCAAGTTAATTTTGTTTATCCAATGCAACAATGTCCTCTGGAAGAAAATTTCAAGCTTTTTAAAGGTCGGAAGCTTACAGCATTTTCCGTCTTCGGGAAATATTTTTTAGCACCCATTTCAGACAGTTTTATACAGTGGCCCTGCACACCTTTTGGTATCCCATCATGAGTTCCCTTTTATAGTGGTTCTCCTCAGCGTAATCTACCTGTAGGTTCTGGACATCCGGGATCTGTTGGAATCCTTGTCACACATCAACTCCCAGCTCTTGCAGTTTCATCTCCCTCTGGGAACTTCCCACCTTTCCTGTCAGTGTACTTCTACAAGACATCAGCGTCAGCTTTGGCTCTGTCTTTTGCTTTGCATGTTGAAACAATCCACAAAACAAGCATTGGATTTTTGTGGAGCCAGTGTAACCATGGCTGGTATCGATTCCACAGTTTCATTGGTTAACATGTGAACTTCTCAATGCTCTTGTCAGACAAGCATGCTGATATGTGCATGTAATGTGCTAAATAAAACACAGTCAAAACTGAGCTCAAGAAAGTAGACAGTATTGTCTGGATACCTTGGCTTTTTGTTATGGGTTCAGGCAGAACTCTGAAAACACGTAAGCGTTTTTACGGAATGGAGTTGCTAGTTTGAGTCCTTTGCAGGTATTTGAGCATGACCTCCAAGATTGCATCAAAATACTGACAGTTCTGTCGATTCCCAGGACAGAGTCAACAGCACCTTGTTTATCAGGCTTGATTGCCTTAATACCACATTTGAATCAACAAGTTTACATACTGAAAAAATCTACCTGTACATTGTTACGCTTAAGGGACAGAAGTCTTTGCATTTTGAATTTGGATCATACATGTACAGTGTACAGGTACCTGTCAATTCTATGAGTGCATTGGGTTAGAATAATTCAGTGGTGACACATAGAATATTCCATTCCATTTGACCTTGCCCGCATAAAGCAACATTCTGGCTGTCATATAAAATTCTTCTTTCCACTGCACAAAGCACAGTTGAAAACATACCTGCTACCGTTGGCCTGGATATATCCTGAATATTATCCATTAGCTACCCTAACCCCTTGGGTGTACATATACGTAAAATCATATCAAAATTGTTGGATTGAGCACTGTTAGGGCTAAGGCAAGTTATTTCCTTTGACTTTGCAATGGAACTTCCTTTTCTCTGTGGAATGAAGCTTCTACTCTTTGAGTGCAGTGTCGTCATGCATTGGAATGAATTATGCAATGAATACATGAACATGTACCAGTATGTATTAGTGGGATTTATTCAGATAGTGTACTGGTATACAGTAGCCCTGACCATCCTCAATCCTTCAAAATCCTCCAGGCGGTTTTGCAGGATTTTGGAGGATTGAGGCTGCATGGGAAAATTGCATTGCTGATAGCGAAGGATGCACTGCCTCAAGGTTTTGGGTTAGACCTTGTGACTACAATTACACTACAATAAAGACTACAATTACATGTAGTCTTATTGGGGGAAAGTTGTGAAAAGGCATCTTTTTACATGTGTCTATATAGTTTCAAAGATTCTTGGCATGAACGAATGAGACAAAAATTAATCAAACTTCCTGATTTCAGTAACGTGTTTGCCATACATTTATATTTAACACATGACCATCACCCCCTCTGTCGCAGTGTGTAATACCCTCAACTTGTCGGGGAAACAATCCATTTTTTTTTCATCCATCAAGGAGATCAGGAAAATAATTCATTTTGAACTGATCACCCCCATATTTTTCCACATAACAGACTGCAGTCGCTGAACCTCAGACTTCCCCCAAACCTGATATTTTGCCCTTGCCTCATCTCACCCTTGTCTCTTTGCACCTGTACAGATACTTGCCTGGACACTGTGGTGTGTTTTATTCTGGTGTGTGAACACATTCACAAGCATGGCCCTAATCCTAGCCTTTTCTCTACTGCATAAACTTGTGGACGTAAGCCCTGTTTTTTGGTAACGTGCTTGTCTTGTTCATGTGATTGTATACGTGTATGTACGGTAGACAAATTAAGTTAAGTTGGTTTCACTGAAAAATGCACATCTGTTCTTGTTGTTCTAACCTTGTTTGTTTGTTAATAATCCCATAACCCGTTATTGGGCAAACAGTAACAGTGTCAACATGCAAATGAGATCAACAGAATATATTTGAACCAACATTGTGACATGGGTAAAGTTTATCTCCTCGGCAGAACCAGAGGAGAGAAGGGTTTCCATCCGGTTTGAATTTGCAAAAAGTATACCAAAGTCCAAATTGAAATATGCATCCTACATGTAAACTGTCGACACCATCCTCTCCTCTTATTTGTCATGTTGTCCCTGGTACTGCATTACCCCTATTCCGTTCATAATTTTTGTGAGGTTGCTCGCTTCCCTTCTTTTTCCTTCTCCCACTTGGGATAACTTAGCCCCCCCCCTTCACCCATAATCTACAGTTGTGGAAGCATACATTGAACAGTTAGAGTGATAACTCCAACATGGCTGTGCTTTCAACCATTGTCCACTAATCTCTTTACATTTAAACAACACTTTGGTGGAGGGCTACTAACTTTCAAACTTTGTTTTTATTTGTCACTTTAGGTTGCAAATTTTTTATTTTGCCAACATTTAGTTTGGTGTCCATCATGTTGAAAACTTGATGTTTTACATTGGTTTCTTGAGTGGGTTGTTGTCTTTTGAATAAGTTAATTTCAAATATTCTTTTTATTCCTAAATCTGCCCACTTTACAACTTGTATTGTGTGTGTCTGTGCTTCTCTTTAGTTAAGCACACTTTCCATTGTCTTTGGGCACATACCATTGTTATTGTTGCCCGGCCTAGAGGTTTTCGGATAATATTCTGATTTGATCACAACACAGTTTTACATGTACATGTACATTGTACCGGTACATATAGTGCTAATTTTGAAAAGAAGTTTACACTCATTGGTAAAGTGAGAAGCTTGTGCCGTGATTATAAATATTATCGCAACAAGGGAGTAAATTCACTGCTTTCTCGTGTCTGCCCGCACCAGCAATCTTTACAACAGGTGTAACTGAAATACATACCAGTTTGTAGGGTTCTTTCAGTTTTGGAAAAACCCTAAAAAATGCTGGAATAAATTGTCCTGTGAAGGTATGGAAAAGCCATCGAAAATTGGGAGAAATAGTCTAGTCCTATATAAGTAGGGAAAAAAAGTCACAGAAAAGTCACGGAAATCAAGATCTTGCAAGGTTTAGTTGGGCTACTTTTGATGTGATAACGGAGTAATGATGAATTTGTTGTCTGTCTGTAAAAATGGCGTTCTTTCAGTTCAGAATACCAACCAGCCAGTCACTGCAAACTGGCTTTACAATGCCATGGAAATTGTCGTGTTTTAGGTCCTGGAAAAGTCGCAGAACTTGGTTCTCCGATTTTGGTGGGAAGCCTGAGTTAGGCGAGTTCTCAAGAAGCATCTGTGCATGTACATACACCTGTAGCTGGACTGCTAATTGTGACAAAGCTCACAGCATCTGGCAATGCTGTTTGCTTCCAAAGTATGTTTTCCCAGGGGCTTGACTACTGACATTAAATGGTTGCATATCACATATATAGGTACTGGTACCCGGTGTTTGAGTGTTCACATTTGCTTTGTATTTCCACCTAATATACATGTACATTCCGGGCTCAGAGAGTTGACAGGAGCAGTAAGTGCCACCAGTAATTGCAGTGTATAAGGCATCGTGTGCCATAGTGTACAATGTACATACAAGAAATCAATATCTGGACAGATGTACTGGTCGATTCCTGTACATGTGCAATGTATGTTCATCACTTCAGATCGATTTTATTGCACATGCTGTATGTAAATGATTGCCAGACTTGAACCTGAAAAATAATGCATGTGCATTATGTTAATATCATAACTTTCCATGATGATTTAAGCAGAGGGTCTGCAGTTTCGAAAGCAGGCAGATTTCAGATATTATTGCCCTTTCCAAATGGAATTTAGCTTTGGAAGTTAACTTACATGTACATGCAAATGCAGTATGCTCAACATGTACGTGTACATCTACATATGAAATGCAGAGACTTAAGACACATTTCTTGTCCATTCTAAATCCAAACAATATCAGTAGCCCAAAATGGTTAATTCTGTTGGAAAATGACTTGATGGGATTTCTCAGCTATTAATCCACTACA